TCAGGTGAGGCTTAGTATTCAGAGGTTGGCTTTACAAGCTGATCCTTTCCATTACTTACACTGTAACAAAAAGCTATATGTAATTGCAGTGCCATAAATAGATCCCAGTAGAAAATGTCAGTCAAAGTCCCTGTAGATAAATCTGTTTATTGTATGGACTGAGATAAAAAAAAAAACAAAACATGCTAAAACATTCTTGGTTTTTGTGAAGTGCCTTAGTTTTGCCTTCATTGAGGAAAAAAAAAAGCAGATTTTTCTTTTTGTTTTTATTGAGTAGCTGAATAAAGCTTTCATTTCTTGAAATAGGAAATAGGTATATTCTTCTATGTTTTCCTCTTGCTAAAGTAAGCTTCTAGAGTCCTGGTGTTGAGTGCGATGTTTTATTTTGTATTGGAAAGATGCAGAGGAACTGTAAAAATGAAACATTTTTCTTACAAAGTAATGTTGTTGCACCCACTCTTATTTTAAATCCATATTGCTAATGATATTTGTGTTTCTATCATGTCAGTGGACGTGCTTCTGGTATTATGGTATATATAATTTTTTCCTTAATGAGAACTCATTACCAACTGCAGTATCTGTTGCTATCATAAAACATACTAAATTCATACTGTAAAGCTTATAAAAGCACACTAAAGGAGGGTCTCTAATATTCTTAACAGTTTTAAAGACACAATTATGAAATTAGGTAGTTTATATCTGGCACTGAAATGTCAAGGGCAAAACTTACCTGCTGTTTTGACAAGTATACTTCTGCTTTAGATGGCATTTAAAAGACATTTTTTTGAGTCTTAATTGGGTATGATATTAAAAAGTATTTAAATATATTCTGCAGTTAAAAGAGATTATTTAGATTATAAGAGGGTGTATTTCTCAAAGGAATTATTGTGGGCTATACAGCTATCTGCAAGCCAACTGGAATTACTCATTCTAGGATGTCAAAAGATGGATACACTTGACTAATTAGGAAGCCAGTTTGGACTGGTGACAGTAGTCTGCAGCAGCTTGTGAAAGCTGATTTAAAGGTCCCATAGGAAGTGTTAATACTGAACAATATTTGTGACTCTTATACTATCACTGTAGCAATGTTGTATGCAGTTGTGCTGGGGCAGTTTAAGATGTTTCTAAAATACTGGATGGTACATTTTCATTTCTTAAAATTCCCATCATACAAACTTGGACAACATTGTGGATAGTATGAGTATTTATAGCTAGTTCTATAGCTTCATAGAAGGTGTCAACTGTTGACTTAGGAATCAGAAAAAAATCCCAGAATTTGGAGCCTAACTCAAGGAGTAGGAGTTGGAAAAATAAGCTTACTGCATGTTTCAGGTACATAGATTATTAACTATGAATGTTTTTATTTGCAGTGGTTAACTTTTTTCAATACATCCATGCATACAGAAAAGCTACTAGAGAGGTTTTTAAATTCAAGTTTCTATACACTTTATTTCTTCTTCTGTTAACTGGTTTGCATGATCAGCGGAAGCACTAATTTATAATCTAGTTTCTGACCATGGTATATTTCAGATAAGTATGAAAAGTAGATAAATATGTTACAGCTATGATACAAAAAGTTGTGGCTTTTTAGTATTTATATTCCATTATTTAGAATCTTTTTTAATTTATTTGGTGGGGTTTTTTATAGTTTAGCAGATAATGCTCCAGGAATTTTTTTTTTCTACTGAAAACTGTTCAGTTTTTGAAATAACTATGATATCCGTAGTAGTCTTGGATAGGCTTAAAAGGAAAGAGATGACATGCTGAAATAGGATTGAAATTCTTCTTGTCTTATTCCTACTTCCTAAACCAAAGCTTATGAACTCTTTTCCATAAAATTTACGGTATCCTTTTTGGGACTGTAATATTTTTCAGTCTTTTTTGCATTACTGTTACCCAAAATGCTTATAAACTTTCCTCCAGCATTCATGTACTTTACTGTAGCTAATGGGTTGGCCTCAAAGTTTCTTCAAGAATGATTTTGGTTTTAGACTCTTCACTGAGTTTTTCATTCCAGACATAAGTATTTTAAAGAATTGCATGACACCAGTTGGAGAAAGGGAAAGTTAAAAAATGAAGCTGAATGCATAATCTAAATTATATTTGTTATGTACATTCCGAACCATATTCATAGTTGTGATAGTTCATTAGTCATAGGAAACTAAACAAATGGTGTTCTCTAGGACTCAGGACTGGAGCCAGTTCTGTTTAATGTCTTTACTGATGATCTAGTGAAGGGGATCAAGTACACTCTCAGTAAATTTGCAGACAACACCAAGCTGGTTGGCGGGGTTATCTGCTGGAGGGTAGGAAGGATCTACAGAGGGATCTGGACAGGCTGGATCAATAGGCTGTGGCCAGTTCATCAAGGCAAAGTGCCAGGTCCTGTATTTAGGCCATAACAACCCCATGCAATGCTACAGTCCTGGGGAGTAGTGGCTGGAAAGCTGCTTAGTGGAAAACGACCTGGGGTTGCTGATTGACTGAACATGAGCCAGCTTGTGCTCAGACAGGCAAGAAGGCCAGCGGCATCCTGGTCTGTATCAGTAATAGTGGCCAGTAGGGCCAGCACAGTGATCATCCCCCTGTACTCAGCACTGGTGAGACCTCACCTTGAATCCTGCATTCAGTTTAGGCCCTTGACTACAAGAAAGATATCAATATCTTTCTGGAACATGTCCAAAGAAGAGCAATGAAGGTGGTGAAGGGTCTGGAGAGGAACAACTGAAGGAACTGGAAGATCTTATCTCTCTCTACAGTTACCTGAAAGGAGGTTGTAGTGAGGTGGGTGTCTCTTCTCCCAGGTAATGAGTGATAGGATGAGAGGAAACAACCTCAGGTTGCATCACGAGAGGTTTAGATTGGATATTAGGAAAAAATTCTTCACTGAGAAGGTTGTCAGGCATTGGAACAGGCTGCCTAGGGAAGTGGTGGAGTGACCAGCCCTGCAGATATTTACAGTATGTGTACATGTGGTACTTAGGGACATGGCTTAGTGGTGAACTCGGCAGTGTTAGGTTTATGATTGGATAAGATGATCTTGGTATTTTCCAACCTTTATAATTCTATGATTCTAAGGGTGTTCTCAGGTTATAGTTTTGTCATTTTAAGGGCCAGCATCCTGGGAGAGTGGCAATTCAAATACTACAAGGAAGGAAGAGGACTCTTCTTGGTGGGAAAATTCATGACATTCTGAAAATGAAACCAAAATTACTCACTAAAGCCAAATATACATGTAGAATTAGCAGAAATCAAAGAATGGGTAAAAATGAAAGCAAAAGTAACTTAAGTGCCTACTAAATGCAATTTGTAATACAATTGCACAAAAAGATATTTTCAATTAAATTATTTTGGTTCTGTAAATAATAAATTAGTTACTGGTGTAATAGAGAAAATTAAAATATTTATGAAAATGTAATTTAAAGTCAATATTAAGTAGCATGTGTTGCGATCTTTATGTATGTTTATAAGTGCATATAAACTCTTATTATGAGGTTACCACTATGTGACTTTAAAGTATAATTGAAGGACATTTTTCTTCAATTTGTTGATGGAAAGCTCAAATTTTGAGACAATAAATGATTTTTTTTTTTTTTAATAATCTTTTGCATATCTCGGTTCCCAAATTATTGTGCCTCTTTCTGTTTTGCTTTTGTTTTCTGCTTTTAAATGATACCCAGGCTTAGGGTTCTCAGAAGCTAAATTAGATTCAGCTCTTGACTTAGCTGTTGAATAATGAAAGTAAAAAAGTTTTTTCTAGAATGTCATAGTCATGATTTGGTCCATGCTGGTTTTACAGTACTTTGCCAGACCTTCCTGTTTGCAACTTTGAGCTTTTTTCTCTGAATTACTTTTGTTGTCCTTGAAACCACTTACCTTAGAAAGATGATGCTAGAATTCTTTAAAGCTTATTGAAAGATGAAATTTAAAGCAGATAAAGAGACAGAAACAGTGTTGAGACATTTCCCATACTAATTTTCCCCCAATTTCAGGTCCAGAAGATTGCCTTACTTCCTTATTCGTAGTCCAACGCTTTCAGAATTCCTTTTTAGTGATGTGGCATCTTGTTATACCCATCAACTAGTTTAGATCCTGATTTGGATATTCACTGTTAGCAATGACTGCAGAATCATGTGATGTGTCTGACTGTATCCAAGGTAGCGTGTTGACTGAGGGAGTTTTGCCCAGTGACGCATAATGAGATTTCTATCGTGTAATTCTTTATTCCTCCGTGGTGATTTTTCATCATATAGTAAATCCCTGGAGTAGCGTTCTTTCTCCTCCCAGGCGCAGACACAAGGGGTTAACAAGGTTCAAAAGTCTAACATCTGCTGATGTTTTTATTTGAGGAAATAAAAGCAGGGTGTTTAATGCTTGCATTTAATTATCATTTCACAGTAACATTCATAAGTGTTTTGATAGATATTATACATACATGTGTAATAGGATAAGTAGAATTTTCCTGAGCTACATCTATTATTTAACATTGGTCAGCAGTCATTAAATACAAAGGGAAAACGGCTTTTGATTAAAGCTACCTATCCAGTCCAATATTGTTCACTCAGCTTCCTGCCGAGAAACAATTTCAGTGTTTTATAACAATAACTGAAATGATCTTCTGTCTAATATAGCAAATAATTTTTAGGAACAGCTCTTGAAAGCTGACATGAAGATGATTATTTGTGGTTGCAAAAGGGTACTGAAATGAAAATATGAGTGAAATGGCATTTCACTTAAAACTACTTCACTCTCACTATAGAGAAAGAGGAATGTGAAATGAATGAAATAAAATTAGGCCTAGTTCAATGTACAGAAGACCAAAGCAGTTATAATTAATTGCAAGAGAGCAAATTGTGGATGTTAAAACCCTGGTCTAAGTTTGAAATAAAAAGTTTTAATAGTACCCTTAATACCTTTCATTGTTGTTGTTTATAGTTGTTATTATTTATGCTTTGATATTGCTATGGTAACCTAGAGGGTTCCTTCTCTCTCCTTTACAGAAGGTGAGGAGACTGGTGTGATGGATAGCCTGTTGGAGGCCTTGCAATCAGGTGCAGCTTTTCGAGACCGAAGGAAAAGGGCACCGAGATCTAAAGGTGAATATTCTACTTTACGTTTTATTTCCCATAGAAAGTTACAAGTGCTGTAGAATTTCAGTGCTATTTGGTTTAATTTTTTCTTGCAGTGATAACTTTTAGGGATGTTCAGGCTGTTTTGCTGATGATAGTAGCACTTAAGAGATTAATTTACTGAGCTTAACATAGCATGATTATTATGACAAAACTCCTCAATACAGCCACGTGTACTTTAATGTTTTAGTTGAATGGGGAAAATAAAAGTCATTTTGCCCTATAAATGAATCAAAAAATTTCACTGGTATGTAATTGTCACTTTACACATAGGAACATCCAACTTTTACATAATTCTGCTTAGTAATATTGTTAGAGTATTTCAGTAACTTTCAAAGATGTGTTTCATTTCCATTGTTTCCTTCTTTTGCAGACATACTGCAAAATCTCAGTCCAACCACACAGCGGCCTGTGCTGAAAGCTTGTAACCATGGTAATGAACCATATTCATGAATTGCATGCTGCTCTTAGCTTATGTAGTTGATCTGTGCTTTCAAAGGACTGCTGTGATTTTTTTCAGTTTCTACCTTAGTGGAATACTGAAAGTGTATTGGAACCTGCTTTTTAAAATAACCTGAAACTGTACTTATTGGTTACTTTGGAAAGCTCTTCTATCTTTTGGGGGGGGGAGGGGGGGGGGGGTATTTAAAGCTTGGATATATCTGTAAATGTAGTACTTTTATAGTCCTTAAGAACAATCATGCAGATTTTCTTTTTAATGGGTTATGGAAATATAACAGAAAGCAGAGATTTTGGAACATTTTAAAGGTTGCTAAGTATTTATGATACTGAATCAGAAAAATGTTTGCATTTGTTTTGTTTTTCTTTGTTTTGGTTTTCTTGATCCTATAGTAATGGAATTGTTTAAGGTATCATTTACCAGCTTAATTCAAAAGTTAGGTTGTATTAACAAAGTACGAGTAAATGAATCAGTTACTTCATGGCAAAATTTTTCTCCAGATTTTGAGCATTAGTCTTATATGCTTATTTGTAAGCTTCTGAACTATCTCACTGTAATCAAATATGACTTACTCGTATTTGAAAAGTTACAAGTGTGTGGACGCTTGTTAGCTTTGATTATTAGACAGTCTATGGAATATTGTTATATTAGGTGTGTTTTAGTTAAGCTTGGGGGGTACAGAGTGACTGTTTTCAGTGGTTTCTGGAAAAAGCTTATATCTGTAACACGTCTGTTAAAGAATTTTTTTTTTCTTTTAAACTTACAGGGAAAAAAATCAAAATATCTCCTTTCTTTATTTTTTTTAACAGAATGCATTATCCTGTGATATGTTAATGCATTGTGGAGTTTATAAAGCAAATGCTATCAAATTGATGATATTAATTATTCCTCATGTTTAAATTGTTATTGCTTAAGTGTCAATAGCCCCCCAAAAGCATACAGAATTTGGCATTACCTTAAACACAAAGTTAAAGAAAATAGAGCTGGAAGGACAGTTTAAAGATAATTAATTCACTTACAGGAATTGGTGCAGAGAAGAATCAAGTATATTTGACAAGTGTTTGTCTGGCACATAACATTGATATTTGAATAATGACTGTAGAGCACATCTGAGTTCATCCTATAAGTGTTTCTGCTAGTAAGAAAAATTATGTTGAATTTTGCTTCTTTTCAACCCTTTCGATCTATCTGTCTAGCTGTCTATGGACAGATAGTGTAATTTCCAGTTTTCAAATTAACTGTATTTGGACAAACTATATTTGGGCTGTGCACCAGAAGCACCAAAAAAAAAAAATTCTTTCACTTGTTGCCTCAGGACCAGGATAACACAACTCAGAGCTTGCTTTTAAAGAATTCATTAATATGTTTTTGATTTGTTGACACTTGTCACAGTATCTACGTGTTACATCATCCTATCTTGAGCCTAAGAGAGTGTTAAACTTGATGTAGATTATGGTGAGTTTATATATCAAAGACTTTTTTGTTTTATGATAGAATTATATAGTTATTCATTGCTCCAAGTTCCCTTTGAAGTGAATATCTATTTATTTTTTTGCTATTCAAGATCTTTGTAGGCAAGTTGGGAATTTACTTTTAATAATTTGTATTGTTATTGGGAAACCAGAAATTATGTAGATTGCATACTGTCTAGAATGAATACTAGACCCTCAATATCAAAGTTTATTTTTAGATAATAATAACCTAACTGAAGTTAACAATGTGGCCAGTCAAGAAAGAAGTCTATAATTTCAACGCATTTCAGAAAAATTAGGATATGTCATTAGACAAAAGTATTGGCTTGGTTGTTCATTGATTTGCTGTTTTTCCCAACCTAATGTATCAAATGGGTGCTAAATTTTATATAATGGCAAAAAAACACTGGCTTCTCTATGCTTAAAATATGTGGAGTCTGATAAAAGCCCACAAGCAGCAATTCAAGCATTTTCCTTGTTTGCTTCTGTACTGGCTTTGGATGTTTGGCTTAACTGGTAACCACTGTTTGGTTACTGCTTATTCTGCCGAGACTACCAGATTCACTTACAGTAGATATACTTCAATAGATGCTGCAAATTCATATCTAGGATGAAGTTCTTTGACTCATCATGCAGTCAAAAAGAATTACAAGCCATGACTTGAAATGTTTGTCCTCTGAATCATTCACAGTATAGCAATCTGTTGGGCAGATGCCATCAAGTTGTAGCTAATCCCTTCAGTTTCAAAATAAAAAAAAGCAAATGAATAAAAACTTAGTCTTTATATGATTAAAGATATTTTGCTAAAAAAAAGTGGAATATAAATCAGACTCAAACATACACGGGAACTAGAGAGTAGTGGTTCCATGTCTCACAGGAGGTGCTGTGAGAGAGAAATACAGGCAGAATGCATGCTTTCTTCATACCTCTAACATAAATGGAAGCAGGAAAGAAATCTCTCTAACCATTACCATTGTCATCCTCAGAATGATACTGCTCAAGATACCAAACTATCACTTACCGGTGAGGCTGAGCCAAGCCCCATAAAACAAAGTAATACAGATGAGCAATCCAATACTACTTAGCTCTAGAACTGAGAACTGAAAGTGTCCTTTATCTAAATAGACTGTTTAAGGTAAAAAGGAAAAAAAGAAGAATAGTAGGTTTAGTGGATTACTAGCCATGTTTTGGCCACTTTTCTCTTCATGATCTGTTGAGGTCCCCAGAAAGCTTTGGTAGGGTTCGACTGATACATTTCTTATTAAGAAAGAGTACTGGTTCTCATGCTGCATCCCAGGGAAGCCTCTTGGGTGTGTTATTTTATTTTCAGTCCTACTGCACTCTTCTTTTATTGAACAGATTGCTTCTTTGTAACATGGTATCTGGGTTTTGTCAAGTTTAAATCTATTCTCTTTCTGTGATCGGAATTACCAGTTATATATTTTCTGCTTGTGACAAGGCCTATGGAGTCAGATAATTTCTTGCTGACGAAAAGCCCTGCTGCATAACTAATAGAAATAATACACATTTGGAATTGTTAGATTTTGGAAATGTTCTAGCACCTGAATACAAATCATTTTTACTGGATTTTTTATTGACGTATTGGTGTATTTGTTTCCTTTGTTTCCATTTCTAGTGCTTTGTATTTTTAAGTTAACAACTAAGTTACCTATATGTTCAAAACTACCTGTTAATATTACAGTTCACTTTAACTGCAAAGAGCCACAAACTGCCGTCAGTACTGTGGTGTATGCTTTCACTGTAATTCCTATTCAGAGCACTATATGACGCAAAGTGAAGTGTTAGTATAGTTTTAGTGTTGTACTTTGGTAAAGTTGTAGTTCAAGAGCATCTAATGGGAGCTTTTTTGTTTTACTTAGGGAGTAGAAGAAAGCACTTAATTTTCAGTGATCAGGATTTTGCACATTAGAAGATCATCTCAAGCAGCTAATAGCTATGGCTGATCTGATTTCAGTTATTTACAACAGTCAAGGCATATTTGCAGCTTGCACATTTATTTCAAATAGACATAGCAGCATATCAAAGGCAGCACGGAGCCCACTGCAGCACAGGAAGCTGTATTATTCACTAAGTTTTCAGTCAGGCTTTGCAGTTCTGCATCAAGTTCTCTGCTGCTGTGGCTACGTGTTTATTTACAGTAACATTAGCCAAGCTAATGTAATCTGAAATGCATGAAAATGAATTTGAGATGCAGCTTTGATTACATGTATATTTACCTCAAATGCAGCAGAAAGCATTTTTCTTTACAAGTAGATTTTATTCAGAATGCTGTGAGTAAAGAAAAGCTATAATAAAATGGAAGTAAAAAAATACAAATTGTTTTTTGTGACTGAAAAGGTTGAAAGAAATCTTTCTGCTGCAATCATTAATTGGATTGTGGACTGTACTTCCAAAGGTAACAATAAGATCATGTTTCTATATTCAAATCAAACTTCCATGGTAAGGGGTAGTCATAATTACTATAGCTGTTTGTTTCAGCAAGTCTATAAACAATAGAATAATTTTCATGTCACATTTCATCTGAAGCATTTTAAACACCTCTGTTAAATAAAATCCTTGTCAAGTAATGTCGTTCTGGTCCAAATTGAGACAAAGAAAACCCTTTTATTTGTGTTCATTGGGGTTTTTTCATCTCTTATTTGTAATGGAACTGTCATCTGAGGTTCATATTAATGTCTCTGCTACCTTATTTTTTGACAATCATAGTTGACAGTGAGCTCAGGCTCATCTTAATTCTTGAAACCCACAGTCCAGTCACTTAGGGGTCACTTTTATTTCATCATAGCTGTATATGACAGCAAACTATGATTGACATTTCAACCCAATTTTTTCCTTATTTCTTTGTTTTGTATGTTAATGTCTTTTCCACAACTGTGTGTACTAACATTAGGAAGTACCTAAAACTGGAGAAACAATGAAACCTGTGAAGGTAACTTTTTACGCAGTACATTTTAGTAGGAAAGATGTATTCTTGACCACTACCAGTTCTTCATGGTAGATACTGTTTTTCTTTCTGTGTTTGATCTAAAACCATCAGTGTTTGTACCTCTGGTAGAGAAAAAAATTGTTAGCCTTTGTGAAGTTTTACTCAATAGACAAGTTTTCTTGGCAGCAGACTTGGAACATCTGCAGGCATTGTTATGAAATGAAAGCATATAACAGAATTTCTATTAAAAAATACCAAAACATAGTTCTCAGTCGTTCCCATTTTGAGACCGAAGCTTCACTTCGATATTGACTTCATAGGTCAAGGAAAATTGTTGCTTATTCTAACAGAAATAATTCCCCTGAAACCATCTGCACTGTTTATAATAGAGTGTTTTCCTAGAGCAGACAGCAGAGTTCAAACAAACTGTGACCATAAGAATCAATTTTGCATATCTGGAAAAAAAAAAAAATCCAGACAAGAAAAGTGAATTTACTCATTGGTATTTGTTTGTTTAGAACTATTTCTGCAATGCCATACTTGCAGACACATAC